GCAGGGGAATGGAGAAAATGAGAACCCAGACCTGTCATGTAAAGGTGCAAGATCCCCATGATGAATGTAACTGCACGGTATACTTAAAAATTACCAATAAACTCAATAAAAAAGAAAAAATAGATGAATTTCTCCCCTTCACATTAGGGTGCCTCTCGAGATAAAACTGCTACTCCCTTGGCTTAGACTACTATGACAACCTTCTGCATTTCCAGCTTCCTCTTTTTGCCTTCCTACTGTCTAATCTCCACTCAGCAACTTGTGATCTTTCAAAGACCCAGTGGGATCAACGCCCCTGTTTGAAATCCACCAAGTTTCCCACCGCATTTACTACGCTCTGCACACCTTCCGTCCTCCACTCACCTTGCCAACCTCACTTCCCCCCGGCCACCCTGAGCCCTTTGTTACCCTTTTGCCCCACTGGACTCATCAGATCCTTCATTGCTGCTGTCCCTGGAACCTGGGCAATGCTTTGTTTTAATGCCACCTTCCCCACTAGCCCTCCACCCTATCCCACCCTGTCACTCCTCTGTCCTCCTGCCTCACGTCCTATTTCCATGCCTCATGCTTTTGTTTGGAGTCTGTACCACAAGCAGGTGTTTGATCTATTTTGCTACAAATGAATCCTCAGTTCCTGCAACACTGCTGATCCTAGTAGACGCTCAGTAAGTATTTATGGGGCCTATCGACTAAAGGCACATCATTACTTCAGTGAAGGCAAACAGGCATGCAGTTGACAAACAGAAAGTATCTTCTGTCCTTGACCTTTCTGTGGATGCTTTATGGTCATTTAAAAATAAGATTTGAGGTAGGGATATACCTCAGTGGTAGGGTACTTACCTAGTGTGCATGGGCCCCAGGGTTGGATGCCCAGCACTCAAAAAATAAAATAAATGAGTTAGAATGACTTATCACATTAGGCTGTCATGTATTTCTGCCATAAGGAAACATAACCCTGATTATTTTCTTCCCAGATGTTATCATAATCAGTAATGGCCTTGTTCTTTTGTTTGTAACTATCTCTTTTGCTCTATCTCCTCCATTAGGAAAGGGCACGATCAGTACTGTTTCCCCAGTGCCAGTCTGATGGCCTGGCACATAGCAGGTGCTTGAGACATGTTTGCTGAATTAACAATTCAGTGACAGACTAAGCAAGACTAGAAATCTCATTAAAGTTACTATGGGCTCTTCAAAGCCAGTAACTTCCCAGTTTTTTTTTTCCTAGCTCGGCCCTTTGCACTGAGTAGGTGCTCAGTAAGCATATTGATTGAGTTGAATGTCAGTGAGCTAGCAAAATTTCAGAGACCTTGTCCTACTTGGAAAAGCTCTTCTGAGGAGGACAAAAGCTTGGAGGAGTCCCTCCGGAGGAGATCCAGGTTTCCAGCTTGGCAGGATAGAGACAAAGGGTTCAATGGGCTCATTTGCATTTTGTTTTGCATAAATATGCAAGCTGAGTGGTTGAGCTGCAGTCTCTAAGGATGTCAAATGGTAGCTGGCTGTGTTTTCAAATAGGACATTCAGGATCTTACAAACAGAAGATTCCCACCCAAAAGACTCCTCTTCCCCTGCCCTGGTGATAGTGGCACCTCGATCTGGGGCAGGAGCCCTCCCTATCCCCTCCTCACTGCCAGCTACTTTCCCATACTCACCCCTACAGGGCCCTTGGCAAGCCCAGGGGAAGGTGTGGTGACTCCCAGCAGGCCCTGTTGACAGAGCTTAAAACAAACCTCCCTGTCCACACACAGGTCCTGCAGAGGGAAAGGGCCAACTTGGGGGACCAGCTGTGTTCTGGGTGAGACTCGCAGAGCCACAGAAAAGTTTAGAAAACAGCACCTAATCAACAACAGCAAGAACCAAAAAACCCTCATCTTTGCTGAGGCCAACAATGAGTGATGGGAAAGACGGCTGGAACCCCCTCCCTTTAATCCAGTCGCCCTGATTTGCATGGGATTTGCATAAACAGCACGTTGTATTCAAGCAGCCCTCACTTCAAGGGCCAAGATTAAGGTGGAGGATTTGTCCCACCCACAGGAGTTTTGTTCACCCTCCACTGTTCAGAAGCTCAGGACACCTAGAAAAAGCTCTTTATATACTTGGTGGGGGGCGCTGAGAAGCATCCCAGAGAAGATGGAAAACGGCAGGGGAGGTGGGGCAGGGGGCCCTGTGAGATGCTCTCTCCCAGACAGTGAGAGTTCTAAAGTCACTCCTAGTTCTGGAACTCTGTCGGCATCTCTGCAGGGTGTCAGGTACCCAAGGCTTGGATTCTGCTGTACTGCAAGCAAGATGCCCAGTAGCCAGATTCCGGTTGTGCTAATATTTGTTGAGGGCTTGTCTGGGACAGTGACTATCTTGTAGGGAAAGGGAGCAGAGCAAGGGAGACAAGACCGCACAAGGGGAAGGATGGGTAGAGCATTGTGGAGGCCCCAGCACTATCGCCTGCCAGCAGATAGGCAGGGTCCGGCTCTCTATAAAGCCTTCACTCATAACTGTGGCACTGGTCAAGAATCACTTTTCAACTCCCAGGGCCTAGCTCAATCCAGGGCATTGCTTTTCTTTCTTTCTTTCTTTCTTTCTTTCTTTCTTTCTTTCTTTCTTTCTTTCTTTCTTTCTTTCTTTCTTTCTTTCTTTCTTTCTTTCTTTCTTTCTTTCCTTCCTTCTTTCTTTCACTCACTGAGCTTATTGGTACTATTTAAGTATACAGTACAGTTAAAATTCTCATTTGGATCTTGTGCCCCCTCAGATTTTGCTTTGGAAGAAGTTGCTTTGGCTCCAGCTCTCAAGTATACACCCAGATAGCCTGATCTTAGCTTCCACTTTACATCAAAGAAGATCACAGAGAAGAACGTGGAGCTCAAAGGGTGCCCCCAGATAATAATCACTAGGTCCCAGCCTCTGCAGAGCAGACCTGGTAAACATGCAGGTCCAAGGTCTGTTTCTTCCTGTCTGACTTCCTCACTCTATGCAAGGCACAGAGCACGGATTTTATCCCTGCTGAGCTCCCAGGAAAGCCCTGCCCCAAGAAGAGGCAGGAGGGAGAAGGGACAGGGAAAGGTTGGGACCTAAGCGTTTCCAGATTAGCCTCATCTAACTACCACCCAATGGATCTCTGTCAAATCATCTAGGCATCACCCTGTGCCTGTGAATCGCAGTAACAAGGAAGAAAAACAGGATTGGAATAAAACAAAGAACCAGAACCACAGTGCTGGTACCAGTCCCAGCCCTAACCCTTGAAAGATACAGAATTTACACCATTTTAGCTCTCTATGAGTTTTGTTTGTCTTAACTTCTTCATAAAGCTGGGATTTCAAAACCCACCCTGCTCATCCTGATGATGAGTTCACCAAGAATCACAAAGGGCTTCACACAGAGCCTGCCTGGACCAGACAGGCATGGAGTATTGTTAACCACCCGATCTAAACCATCCCAGGAGAAACAGACTTTCCTGCAACGTTTTCAAATGGTCCACATGTGCAGTTATTCAGGTCATACTAACTTTGATCTCTCATCTTGTGATCAGTTTGATGTTCATCTCTGATTTTGTTTGTCGTCTTTCTCGGGGGATTGGGAGGAGAGGAACTGGGGGCTCTTGGGGTCTTTCTGTTTATGGACAGCATAGGGTGGGCCTATGTTGAAGAGGGGACCAGTGACTGTCTCTCCTCCACAGCTTCACTGCCTAAAGAGAAATCCCTTGAGGTTTAGTGACTCTACAATAAAGAGACTTTTCTCCAGAGTACGAATCTTTCTTTTCTTTCTTCCTTTCCTTCTTTCTTTCTTTTTCTTTCTCTCTTTCCTTCCATCCATTCTTTCTTCCTTTGTTTTCTTTTTTTTTCTTTTTGTTTTTCAGTACTTGGAATTGAACTGTGTGTCTCTGTATTGAGCTACATCCTCAGCCCTTAGATTTTTCTTTTTTTTTTTAAATTTTGAAACGGGATCTTGTTGAGTTAACTAGATTGGCCAGGCTGAGCTCTAAATTACAATAGTCCTGTCTCAGCCTCCCCAAGAGTGCTAGGATTACAGGCATGCATAATCATACTCAACTAACATTTTAGCTTTCTAGAGTCTAAAGATACCCAGGCACCAAATTTAAGGATGTCAGACAACTGAACCATGCCTTTAATCCTAGCACTGTGGGAGGCTGAGGCAGGAAGACTGCAAGTGAGAGCCTAGCTTGGGCAACTTAGTGACTTAGTGAGACCCCCATCTCAAAATAAGGGCTGGGAATGTGGTCAGTGACAAGGCCTCAGGTTCCAAGTCCCAATATCATGAGGTGAGGGTGGAAGGGGTGGAATAAAGTGTGTACAACCTATAAGGGTTAGGTGCCTATGAGCCTCTTAACCTATAGACAGTGTTGAATAATATTAGTCACTCAGATTCATGTTTCTTTTTTCTTTCTTTCTTTTCAGTACTGAACCTACGCTCAAAAGATTAAACATAAGCACATTTTCCTACTGCCCTTTAGCTAGCTTCTAGCCTCTGCCCGGGGTTTCTTCTGAGCCCTTGAATATCCACCGCAAGATGAACAGCACACAGCACACCTTGGACCTGCCTCAGTTACACCCAAGGGCACCAGTGGTTTCCTTACAGATCCTTGGGATATTCCTTTCCCCCACAAAATGTTGCCAGACTCCAGGAACAGGCAGGGGAAATAACATCTTGTTGCAATCCTCTCCTCCCGCTCCATCATTAATTGTATCCTGCTGGGAGCCCTCCTGCACTGGGGGCGAGCATGTGTCAAGCACATTTCCCTCTTCCAGGCAATTGCCAAGGGCGTGTTAGCCTCTCCGTTTTGAACAAATGCCCCCCATCCCAAGACACGGAGAAAATCAGACTAGTTGAAGGAGGGGGAGGAGGAGGTTGCAGTGGAGCAGCAGGCTGGGGTCAGGACAGAGCCCCTGAGTCCCAACCTCCTCCTTGGACAAAGGATGGGAGCTGTGAGCTCTTCGGCAGTGACTGGTTGACGGCTGGTCAGGCACAGGACTCACAGTAGCAACCAGAAGTTGACAGAAGAGGAACTGAGTTAGGCTTCTCCTCAAATGATGGAGAAGCGGATCTTCTCCGTAGCCTACTTCTGCAGCCAAGGTTGGTGCTTCCCCTCTCAACTACTTTGAATTATTAGGAGAGCTGGATAAGTAGAAACCTCCTTCCTGGATTTTTATTTCCCCCAGAGAACAAGATACCCAATCTAGGAACCAGGAGGAGTTGATGGTCTTCTATCAGAGAAAAGAACTGTCATAATCTGGGGCCCTGGACGCTCAGCTGGGGTTCCCTCTGTCAAATGAACTCATGAAATATTCTTGCCTTTGAGTTGCATACAATGCCAGGGCATGAGACTCAAGCCACTGCAGCAGTTCAAGGACTCAAGGAACAAGAAGCTCGAGGTTGTCATCTTCTATCTCTCTGTTTTGCCCTTTTCTTTTCAGCCCAGCAGTAGGAAGAAAGCGAATGCAGCTTGCAGATCAGGATTGCTGCTCAGAGTTTCTGCTTCTACCAAATGTTGAAGAATCACCCATTTTCCCCAGCATCGAGACAGGGAGCTATCAAATGTGGGTTAGCATCCCACAACTTCTCCCCGCCATGTATCATCTCACCTGATTGCTTCAACGCCGTTGGTGTAATCTTTGCTTCTCTGGGTAAGGTTGTAGAACTTGCCAGGAAGTCCCTATGACTCCCTGGGCAGCATTAGAAGCTACCAAGAACCCGGGTATGCAGGCAGACAGGTCTCGGCCCACATTTCTTCTCTTAACTCTAATTAGCCATATGACCTGCCTCCTTTAAGCTTGGGCCCTGGAGCAGTCGACTTACTTTTTAAAAGATTGGATGCGATTATGTATGTATCTAAAGCACTTAACACATTCAGTGAGACATAGTACTCGAGAAATCTTACTTATTTCCTAATTGCAATGAAGTTAAAGATGAAAAGAGCGACATCTGAAAGCTTCTGTTAGAACTGCCACGTTTGCCAATGCTGCCTCCTGGCCACAGCGCTCCTGGCCTCAGTTCAAGGTCGACTCTTCTCTGGTGTTGAGGGCACACAGGACTCTCCAGCATTCCAGGACGATCAACCCAAATGTCTCAGGCAAAGCCTGGCTCCCCTTGAACCCTTGCTTTCTTCCATGAGGCACACCACCCATCCTGCACTCACCAGGAAACATGCTCTTTGCTCCTGCAGTTCTTGTCCCCACAGGCCAGCATCTTGAATGCAAGGCACAGCTAGATCCTGGAGGCAGCCCGAGGCCTAACACCACCTGCAGAGAAAATATTTCTCTCTGTTGAAAATGCACAGGGCCCCTCTGCCCTGTCCCTACCACTCCCCCCCCCCCCCCCCCCCCCCCCCCCCCTCCTCCTACTACCCTTT